TGTCCTCCCCCCTCGCCCGAGGAGGGGGGGGGGCAAACACCCCCCCACATGCCCCCGGCCGTGGGTGTGGGGGTGGGGGAGCGAGGGGTGTGGAGTTCCACACAGCTGAAACTTGCCAAGGTTCAGAAACACTGGGTTAGAGCATCGGATTCATACCAAGAGGCCAGAGTTCCAATCCCCATTTAGCCACAAAACTCTCTGAGTGAGTTGAAAGGTTGCTGTCAGACTCAAACAGAGGGCTGGAGAAACGTTAGCTAGGTTAGGCATACAGATTCAGATGTAAGGGGTTTACTTTGGGTTTTCACTAGATTGCCAAAATGTACCAGTGGAAGTCTAATGCTGAAGGCATACATGAATATGCAGAACATGAATTTGCACAATATGAAAGAATTCTGAAGCCAAACGTATATTTGGGGGAACTAACACAGGTAGTTCTTGTTTAGCGACTGCCTTGGACAGTGACTGTTTGGAGTTACGACGGTGATGAAAAAGTAACTTTGCGACCAGTCCTTGCATTTACGATGTTTGCAGGTCTGTAAAGCAAAGGAAAGCTGAAGGAAGATCATAAGCACATTCGCGGTTTCACCTAGCAACCACTTTGCTTAATGACCGAGTTGCCGGTCCCATTTGTGGTCGCTAAACGAGGACAACCTGTATTGAGAATGTCCTTTAAAAAAAATCCACTCATTATCTTAAACGTTCTTCATTTTAGCATGCCAGTTTAAGGTGGGACAGTTAAAAAATACATATATACATACACACATGCATATATTTAGCTAAAATGGCTCAATAACTTGGAAACTCTACTTTTTTGCCAAACTTGCAGTTCACTTGGGGTGAAGCGGTCAACCCAAGCGTCTCTTTTGATGGCACAAAACCGAGAGGAGAATGAAGCCTTGCTTTTCGTGTTTTTGTCATAAAACTTACCGTGAAGGAGATCTGTAAGCCACCCATGATGTAATCCAGGAAGGTGTGAACTTTCTCTATCTGCAGAGAGATGATGATGATGATGATGATGATGATGATGATG